ACGTTGGCTTTTGCCAACACTGCAAAATCAGTTGATGACATGGGGCTCTTCTGCTTTTCATAGTATACATGTTTTGAATTATCATGAATTATATATCACCATAAATATATTTAATAATTATATCTCAATTTTAAAATGACTATAATGAGGGGGGCTGGGGATGTGGCTCAAGCGGTAGCGCGCTCGCCTAGCATGTGTGCGGCCCGGGTTCGATCCTCAGCAGCACCACATACCAACAAAGATGTTGTGTCCGCCGAGAACTAAGAAAAAATAAAATAAATGTTAAAATTCTCTCTCTCTGTCCCCCTCTCTCTCTCACTCTCTCTTAAAAAAAAAAAAAAATGACTATAATGATACCAGGCACTGTAGTATACTCCTGTCATCCTGGCAACTCAGGAAGCTAAAGATAAAGAACAGCCTGTACATCCTAGTAAGACCCTGTCTCAAAATAAAAAAAGAAAGGGCTGGAGATGTGGCTTAGTGGTAGAGGGTAAACTGCAGTACCACCAAAAAGGAAATATAAAGAAAAATAATTCAGTGTGTTGATGGCATCTGCTTGCTATTACAGGCCTGCGTGCTGACTGTAACTTCATGAGTATTTGGACACCTGGGTCCAATCCACAGTAACTGTCAAAGACTAGAGACGGGTCCTACCTATAACTAGCAGACAATTAGTCCCTCTCCTATAACTTAGGTACTTTATTTAATGGGGAAAGGATGTGGGTGTGTATGTTCAAGGCTTCTGTTTTCTTACTGATTTTTTTGGCCATTTTTCTTTTTTTTTTTTTTTTTTATATTTATTTTTTAGTTCTCAGCGGACACAACATCTTTGTTTGTATGTGGTGCTGAGGATCGAACCCGGGCTGCACGCATGCCAGGCGAGCGAGCTAACGCTTGAGCCACATCCCCAGCCCCTGGCCATTTTTCTATTCATCATTGCAAGTGGGGAATTGAGATCCTGTGTCTTAATCTATTTTGTCTGTGTATTAGTGTAGCCATTCCAGCTGCTATCGATTGAATGCCCCCGCGTAAACATCATGTTGAAATTTAATCCCCATGTGAGGTGTTCAGTCAGTAGAAACTACCATGTTTGAAGGTGAGACCTTTGGGAGGTAATTAAGGTTTAGAGGAACAATCTGAGCTTGGATGCTTGGTCTACATCTTGCCATGGGATGCCTTCTGCTGTCTTAGTATGCCATCAAGTCCTCACCAGACTCAGCTGCCTGGTCTTGAACTTTCCAGCCTTCAGAACCATAAGCCAAATAAATATTCTTTATAAACTACCCAAGGTGTGGTATTCAGTTATAGAAATAGAAAATAAGATAGGAGATTTCTGTGGCTGCTGTTTGCATGATGATTTTTTTCTATTCGTTAATCTGTCTCTTTAAATCTAAGGTGTGTGTCTCCTACAAACTACGTAGAGTTGGATAGTTGGGTAGTTTTATCCAGTCTGGTATCTCTTTTAGATTGATTAATGTTATTTTGATATAATTGGGTTCATATCTGCCATTTTCTGAGTTTTATAACACTTTATTGTTTTTCATTGGATGAATTTTTTTATGGTATTGGATAATGAACCCAGGGGTACTCTACCACTGACTTAACATCCCCAACCATTTATCTTTTAAAAATCGCTGGGATTACAGGCTTTACCATGCCCAGCTAAAAGAATATTGCTTAATTTAGTATCTTAATTTCTTTAATGATATATTATTTTAGTTTTGTGGAAACATAAGTTATTTTTATTGATTGATTTCTGATATGGAGATTAAACCCAGGATGGCTCTAACTCTGAGCTCTATCCCCAGCCCTTTTTTTTTTCATTTTTGAGACAGCGTTTTTGCTAAGTTGCTGAGGTTGGGCTCAACTCCTGCCTTAACTTTCCAAGTGACTGTAATTCCCAGTGTTCACTACCAGATGTGGTAGATGCCAAGAAGAAAGGGGAATGGGATGTTATTATTTTGGGTGCTGCACATGCTAAGCCTATAACCTGCCACTGAGGAGCCATACCCCCAGTCCTGTGTGTGTGTGTGTGTGTGTGTGTGTCTAATTTTTTTCCCCTTAGAAGAATAGGCAGCAGAGTATGGGGAAGTAGTATATGAATTGGAGTAGCTGGGGACCAGGGAGAAGAAAAAAGTTCTGAGAGGATCGAAAAATAAACCTATTTTGAATATAAATCAGATTTCAATACAATGAAGTAGAATTGTGAGGTAATATTGAGTTAGATGTCTACGTTTCTTGACTTTTCTTTTTTGTGGGGCGGGGAGAGTGGGCGGTGGTACTGGGGATTGAACTCAGGAGCATTCAACCACTGAGCCACATCCCTATCCCTTTTTTGTGTTTTATTTAGAGACAGGGTCTCACTGAGATGCTTAGCATCTTGCCATTGCTGAGGCTGGCTTTGAACTCATGATCCTCCTGCCTCAGCCTCTTGAGCTGCTGGACTATATGCGTGTGCCACTGTGCCCGGCCTGACTTTTCTTCAGAAAATTTTAGGTGCTTTTATGCAAAGAAGGAGATGCTTTCTTTTTTCATTCTTTCTTTATTTTATTTTATTGTATTTTATTTTTTTTTGTTCCTGGAAGTTGTGGAGATTGAATGCAGGGCCTTGTGCATGCTAGGCAAGCACTCCATACTTGAGATACAGTCCCAACCCAGAGACGAGTTTTGCTATGGTTTAAATAAAAAAGTTTTTTCTCCAAAAGTTTATGTGTGAGGCAATGAAAGAAAGTTTAGTGGTGAGATGATTGCTTTATGAGAGCCTTAACCTAATCAGTGCATTAATCCACTTGGATGGATTAACTCGTGGTTGATCTATTAGAATGGTCTAAGCAGGTGGAGTACTTGGGAGAAGGTAGGTTGCTCTAGGGCATGCCTTTGCGATATATATTTTTCCCTGATGAGTGGAGCTCGCTCTCTCTGCTTCCTGATTTTTATGTCCCGAAGTACTTTTCTCTGCCTTGTCCTTCTACCACACACACTTTTCACTAAAGCTGACTAAAACAGGTTTTTGTGGTGGGTACTGGGGGCCGAATCCAGGCCCTAACTACCACACAGTAGGCTACTACTTTGCCACTGAGCTTTCTTTAGGCATTCTTGAGAAAACTTTTAACTATGATGACAACTCCCTCCTTCTAATTTGTTTTCAGAGTGCTTATATATGCTCTAGTTTAGTTCTGTGCTAGCAAAAATGGAGAAGGGAGTGGTGGAAAACCCAGTTTACAGTAGGCTCTGTACTAGTTTGCTCGGACTGTGTTTGAGAGAAAACTCCAGACCAAACGTCCTCACATTGCTCACCGCTTACCCTCTGGCACCTCTGTATCACTCCCCATCAACAACCAGCTACCTAATAGACTCCAACTGGGGATATTACAATTAAATTCATTTTATTTTATTTTTTGGTACTGAGGATTTATCCCAGAGGCCCTTTGAAGTACTGATCTGCATCCCCAGGTCTTATTTTTTATTTTGAGACAGGTTCTCCTTAAGTTGCTTAGGGCTTCCCAAAATTTCTGACAGTGACCTTGAACTTGACATCTTCCTGCTTTTAGCCTCCCAAGTTGGTGAGGTTACAGGGATTCAACACTGGCTTTTGTCCATTTCTAGATTTATCAATGGACTGTTGGTGAGAGTGCCAACTATTTTAACCTTTTTGAAATAGTTTGTCACTTTATCAAAATTATTTTTATGTGTATCTTGACACATGGATTTTACATATAGGCATTTCTAGAAACATTCAGCACAAATGTAAAAGCACATACGAGATGTTTAGGTTTGGGAGAAAAACCACTTTCTTTTTCTTTACTTTGTTTTTTGTATGGGTCTTGGGGATTGAACCCAGGGGCAGTTTACCACTGAGCTATGTCCTCAGTCTTTTTGATTTTTAAATTTTGAGACAGATCTTCCTAAGTTGGCAAGTTACTAAGTGTTACTAAGCTACTGAAGCTGGCCTTAAGCTTATGATCCTCCTGCCTCAATCTCTTACATTGCTGGGATTCATGGATTGCACCACTGCTTCCAACTCAGGCCTGCTTTTCTTGTCCCCTTGACTTTGCTTGAGAGACATCTCCAGCACATGGTATTGGATGTCCCTTCTTCCTTTTTTAAGATTCATACAAGATGCTTTGGTTTTCTGATGTTTGGTTTTCTGAGAATTTGAGGTCTTACTTTGTTTCCCAAGGCCGATGTTGATCTTGGGATCCTCCTACTTCACCTCCCAAGTGGCTGGGATTATAGGAATGTGATTTTATGCATGAACCAGTGTTTTTTTAGGTAATTGAATACAAGTGTCCTTTGTACTCAGTTACATGATGACCTCCAACTAATCCTCCTGCCTCATTTGTCATCACAAATTGATTAGGATTACAGGCATGCTTCACCCTTCCAGGCTATGTCTAGAAAATTTCTGAATAAAGTAATGTATTCTGTTTTTTTGTTGTTATTGTTGTTTTTTTTTTTTTTTTTTTTTTTGCTTGAAACTAGCACAGATTAGTTAGAATAAGAAGCTTATGAAAACAAGCAAAAGCAGGGTTAAGGACATAGCTCAGGTATGTCACATGTTCAGCTGGAAGGAGGCCATTGGTTCGATTCCCTAGCACTGTCCAAAAATAACAAGTAGAATATAAAGTGATAGCCACTTAAATAACAGTAATAACGATGTCATGTAAACGAATGCCTCTTATACATTCTATACATTTAATTGTTGTCTTCTTATTGCAGCTTTTGTTGCTGTTCCTTTTCCAAGATTATAGTATTTTTTAGTCTCAAATTTCAGTAATTATGATAGACAATTAGCTACTAATTTTAAAAAATGTTTTTAGTTGTAGATGAACACAATACTTCCATTTTATTCATATATGCTGAGGATCAAACCTAGTGCCTCACACATGCTAGGCAAGTGCTCTACCACTGAGCCACAACCCCAGTCCCAGCTACTAATTTTTTAAGAAATCCTGTCTATGCAGAAGACCAATTTAATAGCAAATCTTTATTTCTTGCAGGTTCCTGATATTCAAAAACAACATTTTTATTCCACTGCTACCATATCACACCAGTCATGAGTTGGAATGCAAAGCCAGAAAGTGATATGTTACCACCACCACCACCACCACCATATAATAAAAGCCAGTCATCTGTTCTGCACCAGTTTTTTATAAACCAGCTTACCACAACATCTCCAAGTTCTTTTAGCTATCTTGGAAATAATGAAGCATGCATGTATTCCAGTAATTCAAATCCAGTTTCACAGTATCCCAGTAATTCAAATCCAGTTTTACAACCAGTGAAAAATATCAGAAATTACAATACTCCTCAAATTCCTGTTTCTAATACGCAAAACAGGACAGTGATGGCCTCACAAACATCAGTAGAAAGAATAACATGCGCACAATATACTGGACCCAGACAACCAAATCATAATTTGCAAGTGTCTTCAGGAGTTTCGCAAAATGTATGGTTGAATTCATCATCGAGGAATTCCATGCCTTCTCATATAGAGGCAGCTGTATGTCATCAGGCTGATGTTGGAACTAATATGTCTAATGCTCATGCACTACAGAGTCAACTTGTATCATCAGATAGGTATTCTTTGCAACTACAAATGAACACTTCAAATTCTATAAGAGCTCCTGTAACTTTTCAAGGAGATCAGGGACTTAGCCAATCACTATCAGATCGACAGGTTGATTGGGTGCAACAGTATACATCAAATGAACAGACTTATCGTGATTATAGACGACCTCCAAAGCAATACTCTTATTCACCACAAAGATTTTTACAAGAGCCAGCTGTTCAGAAACAAAACATTGTGCCACAAAGCTTTTTGCAAGAGCCAGCTGTTCAGAAACAAAACATTAAGCCACAAAGCTTTTTGCAAGAGCCAGCTGTTCAGAAACAAAACATT